ATGGCATGCATGCTGTTCATATTGGCCAATCTCATAACTTCCTGATTGGAGACGTGGCATACAAGCTGTTCATATTTTGCAATCTTATAACTTTCTGATTGGAGACATGGCATACATGCTGTTCATATTGGCCAATCTCATAACTTCCTGATTGGAGACATCGTCCCTCCAAGAGATGCCTCAGGCAGCGCAAGTGGAAACTATTCAATCTGTGCTCTTGGTACATGTATGTCGACCAGCTTTCACAGCCATAAAGAAGAATGCTCACAACACAGGCATTGTAGACTAATATTTTGGTTGCTGTGGTCAATTTGGCCGAGTCAACAAGACTGAACAATGCGCCGAGTCATCAAGACTGAACAATGCACCGAGTCACCAAGACTGAACAATGCACCGAGTTACCAAGACTGAACAATGCACCGAGTCAACAAGACAGAACAATGCGCCGAGTCAACAAGACTGAACAATGCGCCGAGTCAACAAGACTGAACAATGCGCTGTGATAGCAAGAAGATATGTGGACCAAAGCATTAGCGTGCAACCGTGAGCACTTCGACGATATACAAACCCATTAGCTCACAATAAATTATCAAGATGGCTGTGTGTTAGTGTTGGGTATGGACTGCAGTCTGCCATCATGATGGTCCCAAGTTCCAAACTTTCCTGACTTCAGCCTCTGTCGCCCTGAAGGACATTAGGGCTATTGCTTGGTAATCGACATTTTTGAAGGAAATTCATTATTATACATTAACACTGAATGCATATATCAAAATATATTATACAATAACATTGAATAGATATATTAATATATATCACCTTATTATGTTCGTGTGTCGGAGTCCCACCAACTCATTCTTATTGTGTACATTTGAAACAACTTAGCAATAACTCGTGGGTTTGACAAAGCCCGTTGACCTGTTTATCACTATTCATTTAAGACTTCTTGTTGGGCCAGGTATTGTGGCATGTTTGTTATCGTCTTTGCTAATGCTTAATGCCATGTCACGGTACTGCATGGCAACCAATGTCAAAATACTAAGTACTTAGTGACATAGCTAGTAATATTGTATCCTAGACCTGTATATAGTAGAACTTTTAAAGCCATATTCCCAAAAAAAACAAAAAACAACACAATATTTACCCATTATGTGTCTTCTCACATTACTATATAGTGATTTTTTTTTCTGTAGCGAGCTTTGTATTATGGAAACAAAAGGGGCAAAACCTCTTTATTTCTTTTTTTTATATCTTTGTTTACTAGAGTAACGTTTCCCTAATAGTTTTTTTTTCTTTCTTTCCAATTGAAAATTGAAATAATTGTTTAAAATTTACCATTTAACCACTTTATTTGACTTGTGTCATTCCAAAAAAAAAAACAAAACAGTTTTGATGGATAAAATTGTGATGTATCTATTTATTGAAGTTTTTTTTTTGTCCAGTTCATGTTACGGCTTCCATAAAAAAAATAATAATAAATAAAAAATAAACTTAAGCCAGCAAGAGTTGTCTTCTCTAGGAAACATGTTTCACGGATGCTGGGTGATATACATATAAGACGTATCTTTTTAGGCGTGCCGTATTTGTATTCATTGAGCTGGGGCGTAGGTGTTGGCGTCACACTTGAAAATAAGGATGGTAGCAGGGGGAAAGAGAGAGGGTTTAAAGAGGGAGGGAGGGAGAGGAAAGTGTTAGAGAGGTAGAAAGATTGGGAGAAAGGAATGGAGAGACGGAGTGAGTAGGAGAAATAAATAAACAAAGAGGGGTGGGGGAAAGAGAGAGAAGGGTTCGAACCGTGCCCGCCGCCATTTTTTTCTGTAGCACAGACTGAACAATTACCTCTGGCCCATCAATGAAACGAAGGGAGAGAGAGGGATAGGTAGGAGGAGAGAGGGTGTGTGAGAGACAGAAGGAGCTAAAATATCGTTAATGATACTTTGGTATTATGTGACGATAGGGAATGCTAATCACGAGTAGGGGCGGACTGGCTATATGGGCATTGGACAAATGCCCGAAGGGCCGGTCACTCAAATGCACCGAAAGTGCCGTATGAATGCCAGTAAAATTGTAAAAAGATTTATGATATTCTCTTTAAATGTAACACTTTGAGCGTCGTGATTTAAAAAAAAATATCTTTTACACTTTAAAATCCAATACTAATCTAAAGCATTGTCGTAAATACTTCGTATATAGTGCTTCTAGTGGACGTCAATTCCTTTTACACACTAAACGATAAACAAGAAACTTAAGGCCAATATTTCTTACAGAGATCGACGTTTGGTATGAATATATTTGGATGAATCTATAAAGGGACCAACAACGTTCCACGTTCTAGAGATAACATGTCCAGTCACATACGAGTTCTTATTAGTTTGGTGGAGTTGTCACATGATCTCAAGTAGCCGCTACGAAGCCACAAGTCATATTTATTATCTTAAACAGTGCAGAAATGTGTTAATTGGAATCAAAATGCAGAAGAATAAAAAAGGAGCAGAAAATAAATAAGATAAAAGGCAACTATTGGTAGAATCATGTGCAAAAAATGTAGTAAAATTCTGAATGTTTTCTCACAAGCATTAGAGATTTACCAACGTTATGATATATATATATTTATATTTATATTTATAATATATGAAATAATCTTGACAGCATTAGTTTGACTGAAGGTTAGTATAGTAAATTACCCTCAAACAAATGGACTTGATGTTCTGTTGTATGTGTAGCCAGCTGTAACATGCAGACAGTCAAATTAGGTTTTCAAGTTATTGAGAAAGCAGTATTTGACCTTGTGTAGTAAAATTCCCCTATCAGACCTTGCGATCTATAGGGCAGATGATGTTAAGCTCATCTGTTTCTTTTTCCACTGGTCAACGACCAGCACAATGACCAACTGCCTTTACTTTCCCTGATAGAGTTGGGTGGACTCCCGTGTACCTAGCGAGGCTTCGAAATTCAACATATAGTTATTTATTTCTATGCGTTTAAAAATAGGTCATGCATTAGGATTTTCTTTAAAAAAAACAACTTTTTCTTTGGTGCAAAGTATACTAAAAAAAGTCATGAAAATCTCCTAAAAATTATGAAATTATCCTGAAAACTCATAAAAATGTCATGAAAAATAGACCAAAAAGTCATTTTGGGTTATCATAAAATATAGAAAACACAAATCCTAATCGCATTTAAAAAAACGGCCTTGTCACAAATGTCATTTCATAAAAATAATAAGCCGAATTTAAACAAAACCGGAAGTTCCAATATTTATATTACTGTAATAGTCAATGGCATGTAAATATAGATCTAAATCTATATCGATCTCTTAAAAAAAACAAAAGCGATATTTTGCTAGTCGATAGTAAATCTAAAAGGAAGATCTGAATGTTAATCGGTTTTTTGTTGGAAAATTACCTTCTACTGTAGATGGCTCGTAATTTAATTTGACTGTTATTTTTCACTTAGTAAAGTGTAAATTAAATGCAATGACGAATTAATTTTTTTAACAAAAATTCTTAATTTTCACTTATTATCCTTATCTCTACCCAGACTGGGCCCCGCGCAATCTGTTTCACATGGGCATCAGCAATCTGCCCTTTTTGTTATGAATGATTATGATAGCGGAGTCGTGTTAAACAATATGACCGAGCCAGCTTTGAATGCCTTGAATGTGAAGGTCAAGTACATGTGGATCTATATATTAATGTATATGGTAGCAGAATTTTTTTTCATAATAAGAGATTCACCATTCCAAGTGTTATACTTTATTTATTTAGTAGCAATGTACATTTCGTAGTTTCAAAATAATCTAAACAATTATTCATACAGCAAAATTATTTCGACCTATTAATAAGATTTACGCAATGCTTTTGAGGACCGATATGATTGGATGGCTATCACATTGTACAGAAAGTTCTCAATTACCAATTCTATGCCTTAATAAGTATATATTTATGAAGGGATTAAAACACTGAAATATGTAACTTAGTCGAAGTTATTATGAAATCCTCTGGTGTAAAAGAAAAATACAGGTTTATTTTATACTTAATTATACAAATGGGAAGGCTTAAAATAGAATGTTAAGTGGTGTATGCCTCTGGTGAACAGAGTAATAAATTCTACATGAAAAACAAAACAAAACAAAAAACAATAACAAAAAAAAAAACAAAAATGTTCTAACTTTAAAACCTTTTTGACAAAGATGTATCTAAAAAGCTTGCCCAGTACCAATTAAATGGGGAGAGCACTATGGAGCTTTGATAATGAATAACTGTTTTGTCATTGTTACTGCCCTTGCAATTTCGGTACACTTTCTTCTGTATGCCTATATTCCATTGTGAAAGATAAAATGGGGCAGCGTTAAGTTATTATTTACTACAAAACAAGGTAAAAATGCTAAGCACTAAGTATAAATAGAACAGTCTCGAAAGAGGAACAATAAAAACAACAATGAAAAGTAAGCATATATAGATCAAAAAGTATTGAAACCATACAAACAACGACACTGACTTACGCCACACAGTCACCCATACCATTACCCACACACATCTATTCCCCCACCTCTACCAAGTTTTGTGCTCTGAACTGTCGTTCGATAGTCTCGATGGTCGCAAGTTCGAAACCTGCACGCCGACATTTTTTCCCAGTGGCACAAACTTGCGTATTGCTTGCTCATCAACAAAACGCTGGCTCGAAGCAGGGGTGGATTTTAGGGAGAGCAGGCGGGGCTACAGTCTCGGGGGCCTTTATAAGAAAAAGGCCTCCACAAAAGAGATACAAATATATCCAAATTTCGACGAGTCAGAAACTTGTAATTTTTATTTTCGCATTTTTCAGGCTGTCAAAAATTACGTAAGAAGTGTACGCTTATAGTATGTTCGGAAGAAGTCAATTCAGCTCCGAGTTCAAACACACTCCCATCCCCACCCTGTTGTCCTGTGGGAGGTTTGGAATACGAAGTAAATTATCTTCAACTCTGAAGGAACATCCGAGACATTTAAAACATTTTACAAACATTTATGACAGTTCGTATACAAACGGCCTTCTGTGGCATTTTACGTCTCGAGAGACGATCTTTTTCCTTTGCAACTTTTTGTGTGACTAAAGAGGCCAATCCTTGATACACAGCTGCGATCGCAGGTTGGGCATATATAATCACCAGGCGCCGTTGCATTTTCACCCTTCTTTCTGCTTCTGTTGTGTATGACATCTGCAATCTTTAACCCTTCCTTTATGCTCTCTCTCCATGAGGATCTGTCCAGTGCCACCTCTTCCCAGTTGCCAGTGTCGATTTTGAAGAGCTTCATGTCGCGTTTGCATACATCCGTATAACGTAAAAGTGGGCGACCAGCGGCTCTCCTGCCTTCTATTAGATCGCCATACAGGATGTCCTGTGAAAGTCGACCTTCTGGCATTACCCTCTACAAATATACACTTTTTAAAAACCAAAATATGCATATTAAACATTTTTTAAAAAGGAAAGTGAGATTACATTTACAAAAACTCTACTTCTTTCTTTTAAAATATAGCATGTTCTTATATAAAAGTATTTTCATTCTTAAGTGGATATTTATTAAAGTTTTCGAAAAATTGTAGGGGGCTCAACAAAAATCCTGCCCGGGCCTCAGCATGCTTAAATACGGCCCTGGCTAAAAGAACATAACTTAAAATACAAGGATTGTGTGTGTAGGACATTGCTGAGTAAATCTAAGGCTCCCAAGACAACCTTGTGAATACTATACACAGCACATACTTAATTAAAATTAATTTTGAAAACTAATCAAACACTGGACGCGTTGCGTTAAATTATGGAGTATTCAATATTTTAATAAAATAGAGTCTTTTTTTCACCCATCAATAAATCAAGACATCTCGCTCGACGGTCTGGTTTTCTTGATGACAGTACACTGCAGTTAGGACCCAGTCAGTCTACTACTGAACGTTTTTAGCGATCACTTCAAGAAACGAGCTGGCGTCTCTCTGCTTGTAAGTCATTAGAGTGGGACAAACAAAAGGGAGACACCGAATTAAGGAGTAGATGAAACATTGTTGAGATCTATATGTTGTAGACACCCATCAGCAGGACAATGTGAACTAGATCTAATTTAAAAGCTCATTTATTTCTCCTGCTATTGACAAAGAACTCTCTTTCCTCTCTCCCTCTCCACACTCTCTTATCTCTCTCTCCCTCTCCATACTCTTTCCTCTCTATGTCTCTCTCCCTCTCTCCCTCGTCACATACTTTCCTCTCTCCCTCTCCACACCCTCCTATCTCTCTCTCCCTCTCCATACTCTTTCCTCTCTATGTCTCTCTCCCTCTCTCCCTCGTCACATACTTTCCTCTCTCCCTCTCCACACCCTCCTATCTCTCTCTCCCTCTCCATACTCTTTCCTCTCTATGTCTCTCTCCCTCTCTCCCTCGTCACATACTTTCCTCTCTCCCTCTGTCTCTCTTCTATCCTGTATCACAAAACATTCCTGAACCTTTTTCACTCTCTTCTTTTCTCTAAAAAAAAAATTGTATACCACAAACTTGAACACACACATACACTTTGAGGTTAAATGCGTTAGTACAGCAGGTCAGACCTTACGTCAAACTGAGACGAAATATGTTGACCTTTTCTTTAGTTAAACCAGGAGTTTTAAACCACAGTGGATGTTTACCAAACACTCCGGTATTTCTATAGACCTAAATATTTTACGTGTACTATATTACTATAGAAATGACTCAAGGATTCTACGACTCGACCTAATAAGCGCCCTTTCATACTGCAGTCTTTTCGGCTTAAATGTACATTATATTCTTAAAATAGCACTCACTGATTCATGTATGTATGTATCAAGAGATCTCATAAGATATCAAACGTATTCGCATGAAATTTCGTACACACATTCCATGAAAAGGATTCTTAAATGTTTTTGCTCTGTCTAAACAAGCAGACAGATTTAGGATCAGAGCAACCTTTTGTAAACATTTTACAGGGCAGAGCAATACTATTTCTTAATATACAATTAGTATATATTTACAAAATTTCAATCAAATACTAAAACAACATAGATCTCCACGCAATAATAGCTATAAAAAAAAAGATTTTTAGCGGCCCCGAAAGTGGAAAAGACGCTATTAGTTTTGTGTGGCCTATCTATCCGTCTGTCCGTGCGTCACGTGTAGATCTCAGAAACTAGAAGAGAAAATGAAAATTGGATATCACAATATTTTAGATCATTCAAAGTTCTGATGCAAGGGCTACTTTTTTCTTTCCCGAAAGCGAAAAATCTAATTTTTCAAATCAATTATGCAAGCAGTTTTTTCATAAAAATACACCATTTTTACAACTATTCACTATTAATATTAACAAACATTGGAGGATTTTTAGTAAGGAAGACAATTGTTTACAGTTTTTTAAAACACATTTATGCAAATAGTTCTAGATTTGTTTATAAAAAAATTCTTTTTTACAATTCTATTGCTAAGTTATGTAAGTTCTGTCATACTATATACTACATTTACAATAAAAAATGTTTACTTTTTTTAAAGAGAAAAATCTATTTAATATGCAAATAAGTTGGACATAATTTAAAACAACAATTAATAAGTAGTTTTTTCATATTATCGCGTGAACTACACTATGCATAGTGCCAAACGCGAACAAAGTTAAGGAACATTTAAAGGGAAACTCCGATGGTTTTTCAAATTTGAGTTATTGACATATTTAAATTCTGCGTAAAAGTTGTAATAATAAACATTTACCATTTTTTATTTAAATGCTTAGAAACATTTATATTTAATAAATTAGTCAGTAAATTCTTGACATCTCAAAAAAAAACGGGGTTCTATGAGATTTTGTTTTAAGCTAGTTCATACGTCACTTCCATCAACAATACTGAAAGAGAAACTAGATTTGACCAATCGTATCGCTTCATTCTTACAGTTGCTGTTAGGCTTAGTGACGGCCTAGTCCAGATCTATGATACAGTTATATATATATATACATGTATAGATAGATCTAAAAGCATTCGGATAATCAACTCGAGAAAAAGAGAAACATTTTCATCTAAGCCTCTCTCTGTCCCAAGAAGTAAATAGATCGTGTGTCTGACTGATTCGAACAAACTGGTCAGTGTAAGGCTAGTCGGGACTACGTGTAGTCGGTCATGACAAGACAACCTAGTGATAGTGTTTATTGTGTGTTGAGTGGTCTGGCGAGAAAATACACACTACCGTAATTAGTCAAGCAAGTAAATCTACTTTTAATACGCATTTTTTCTTTGCTTACAAGATCCTATATCTAACTGCATAGACAAAGATATATTTCTTTTACGAGAATGTAAACTTTGCTGTATGGTCTCCTGTTATACAATAAGTCAATAGATTAAAACACATTTGTGACGTCACATAGAAACCCGGTGAAAGTCTGACTGTTTTGGATGCGCAGAAAAATTACGTCGGAAAAACATCGAATACTAAGTTATTATTGCAAAGAACAAAAAAAAAAGAATCATATATTCATTATCTGTAAATCAAAACACATATTATATCAAAAATTGTCAAAACCATCGAAGTTTCCCTTTAACTAATGGCTAAAGAAATTTTTTTTAAACGAATTAAAACTCTTGAGGCTTTAAATAAAAAATGGCCCTTTACAAAACAATTAGATAAATTAGATAATCATTATAAGACATCAGTTAGGCCAGGTTTACATCTTACTTCCAATTCACTTTCACCTATGCCTTGGTCTGCTGAACCTTTGAGGCACCACACAGGATCTGTCAACGTTTTTCTCCATTCTTCTCTGTCATTTGCTTTTGATAGAAATTCATTATGATATTCTTTCTGAAAATATTGAGACCTGCCTTTTTTTCTGCCTGGATGGACCACTTCGGGGGCCGATTTTGAGTTTGTTTTTTCACACAAACTGTCTTTGTAACCTTGTTTTTTTTTTTGTTTTTTTTTGTAAAATAAGAGAAATATCACTAATACTTCAACTGTAAATATAATTCATTTTTTTCTTTCCTTTCGTTCTTAATAAATGTTATTGCAATCTAAATTACTACTGTAATTAATTTACTAAGCTAAAGACATTTCACTATGAAATTTCCGGCACCTTTTGTGGGAGGTTTATTCATTGCCACTCTTCTATTGTCTGGAATTTTTGTTTTCTGTGACATTAAGTTAATTAACAGAGTGAATGAATGTATGCAGTGGCAAAACTGAATATGATTTAAGATCGGATTGTTGCGGTTATTATGTTTTTTTCTTACTATCTTCTGCCCAATTCTCAATCTGTTGCGGATACATCTCTCGACCACCTGTTAATGCTACATAGCACCCCAAGTTCAAAACTATGTCACAACACAACACAGGTGACGTCAAGCGTACACCGGAAGCTCTTCCATTTTGTAAACTGTGGCATGGTTGGTGTCCTGACAGCCCCGGAAACCGTCGGTGCCAGCGTTGAATAGCAATCAGACGACAATGAATTGACCACACAGTTGACTTAAACTTTTTCTTGTTAAGTTGCATAGAAAGTCTGCCTGCTAATTTGTTACATTTATGAAAGACAGGAACTTTTTTAACAATAACAAATATTTCATAGCTATTGACAGATAATGGCTTGAGATTTTAAAAAAATCATTACAATCTTAGGCTCCCCTTTGCTGTGTATACCATTACACTAGACCGCGTTAAGGCTTACAATAAAAAGGTGAGTTTGGAAAGATTGTTTATATGTGTGTAATATGTAATGAAAAAGTCCGTCTCCTATTGTGCGTCGCTATTTCTAACACTTAACAAATTCTTTTATGATGCCTTTAAGATTTAGTTGTAAAAAAGAAAGTACTTATCACTCATGAAATGTATAAATTAACATTTTTAAGGACGTAGGCCTAATTATGCTCTTCTTTAAAGGAACGTCTGTAATTTATAAGATAAGAGCTTAGAGTGCAAGCTACTGTTAAAAGTACGTTGATATTTGCTGCCACACTTTGGATTATTCTCTAAATTTCGCATGTTTCTTCAAAAGGGAAAAATATTACTTTTTTCCAGGACTACGGGGAAGTGGGCACGGTTCGAACTCGGGACCGTCGTAACGACAGCTCGAAACGCATACCACTACACCAGGTGGTCATCCTTATCTCTTGTATATTTGGTGTCAGACGTGGTTTTGATCTTTTCTTTTTAATTGAAATAAAACAAAACAATAGAAATAAAACATGGCATGAATCCATCAGTTGAACCAACGTATAAAGAAATGTCAAAGACTGGATCGAAAGGATGTTCCTGGCTCGAAAGGATGTTCACTAATGATTTAAAATTGACCACTCCGGTATTCTAAGAATGTGCCGAAGCGTTCTACAAGCTTATATAGAAACTTGTGCCAAACCTTAACTGGAAACCAGAAACTATAATACTCAACACTCACAACAAATAAGCGTACTCACAACCACAGCTAATTATGTGCGCATGGGTATGTGTGTGTGTGTGTTCAGGCGAGAATGTGAGATACAACAAAATCTGCATATGTGTGCGTGCATATAGGTGTCTGAATGAACAAATAATCAATGGATGGACCACCGTCTCACAGCCACAGGTGTTTAATAAAATAATTCTTTGGGACAAATGACAGCTGGATGTGGACATATAGGACTGAAGAGTTCTCTACAGACC